TTTCAATTCTCTGACTGCCTTCATTCCAACATCTCACTTAAAGTTTGCTGATTCCATGAACATTCTTGATGGTTAACTGCTTTCTGTGAATAATTAATGAATGAAACACTTTCATGGCTAGAAGCCAGTCAGAGTAAATTCATCAAATAATTCAAATACATTTTCATACGTTGGGTTTTAACAGACTTCACCCATCTGCAGTAGCAAAAACTTTCTCTGAAGAACTCATTTAATTCAGTAGGTATGTGTGAATCACAAAGAATCTCAGCTAAGAGCATTATCAACTGTCTGTCATTCTCTACTAGATAGCGGATTTGGACATGTGTTGTTAAGGGGGTCTAAAAGTACTACAGAATTATTTTTTCATCAGGGGCTCACTTGGGAGATTCTTCAAGTGCAGATGAAAAGAAATGACATGCAGAGGGAATTGAACTGTATCGGGAAAACTGTGAAAGAGACGCAGAGAGAAGAGCAATGCAATGGGAGGATAAATGAAAGATCCAAAAATGAAGAGGAAAAGACAATTAAAATAAAACAGGCCAGATCCTGATATGGTATAAATTATTTACATTGATATAACAGTAATACCTACTGATTGGGAGCCCATTGTAGACACTACCAATATATAAAAAGAGTTTGCCCCTGCTCCAAAGAGCATACAATCTAAATAGAGAAGACATATTCTTTACCTTCCTGATTGGTGGTAGGGGAAATAGATGAAGTGATTTACCCAAGGTCCCATAACTCAGAGGTTCCCAGCCATTTTTTATACTGAAGACCAGCAAACCCATTCACAAACTTTTGGTGGCCCCCAGTGCCAGTTCTAACCCTGAGAGCCCCACACCCTCCACTACCCCCCAGCACCAACCATTGACCCCAGGGTCCCCAGCATCCAAGCCCTGTACCCCATGCTAGCCTCCTGCCCTCAGAGCCCCCCTAGTAGCAGCCCCCCCATTCCAAACACCTCAGTGCCAGTCTCCTGCCCCTTATGTTGAAGAAAGAAAGAGACACTTCTGAGCCACACATAGCTCTTCCTCAGCTTCAGAAAGGTACTTTGAGCATCACAGCTAAATACAAGTCTCAGGGGGGTAACCTTGTTAGTTTGTAACTAAAAAAACATTAAAAAATAGTCCTACAGCTTCAGAAAGGTACTTTGAGCATCACGGTGAACTGTGCCCTGCCTGCAGTTTGTAAGTAAAAAAACATTAAAAAATGGTCCATAGCACCTTAGAAAATAATATAAATAATAAAAAATATATAGATGGTATCATGAACTTTTGCGGGCACAATCCACTTCTTCAGATGAGAAATATGGAGTAAGAGGCACAGAGCTTCAAATGAAAAAATAAATACAAGGTTGAATAGATAGGTTAGCATAAATTGCACTGTTAACACATATTCTAAAGGACTATTCAATTCTTCATTATTTTATTTGTATTTCCAAATTTGGAGACTCGTTTAAAATAATCATAAAATTGAAGCAACAATACCAATTAAGAAAGAGGAGAAGGAAAGATACACAATCAAGAAGCTGGGGGAAATAGCCAACAAACTACAATTTACAACCTGAAAACTTAGAGCTTTAAAATTCACAGTGTATCTACAGAGGCATAGCTATAGTACTGTAGTGCAGGCATTTACTGCAGTGACAGAAGAGGTTCTTCCATTGCTGTAGCAAACCCACCTCTCCAAGAAGTAGTAGCTGGGCCAATGGAAGAACTTTTCAGCAACCTAGTACTGTCTACATGGGGACTTGCGTTGGGGCACAGCCTCGAGTGACACAGTTAAGCTGACCCAACTTTATAATGCAGATCAACCCATAGCCTCAGATAAGCCCCTTCAGACAAGAATGCTCTGTTTCCTAGACAAGCTTTTTTTTTTTTTTTAAATAGTTATATGGGTAAAAGCCCTACTGTAGATGCAGTTATGCTGGTATAAAAATGCCTTATACCCTATAATTGATTCCCTTCCCTGTTTTGGAATAGTTATATTACTATCCATGTGTTTTATACCAAATAACTGCATCCCCACTGATGAGGTTGTATACCAGTATAGTTAAACCTGTATTTTTTCCTACCTCATCCTTCCCATCTAACTGTTAATATTCCACAGACATGCAGAAAGGATCAGGCTTGCTAAGAGAATGCAGTGGGTTCTAGTCTGTTCTTGCAACTAGAGGAAAGCCTATCTAATTTGGCTTGGAATGAAGCCTAAGGTTAGAGGAAACATACATTTAGCCTATATGTAGTTTTAAAATCCTGCTTCTCTCATGCTTTGTTCCAGTTGTTCAAAGAAGGTACATTTTATTTAAGATGGCCATTGGTCAATATTACTGTTCACAGGTTCCCAAAGGGAGGAAATACGGGTGCCCCGTACCTTGCAGGGTGATGAGCAGTTGATATACACAGAACAGAGAGGAAGAATCATGAGATGGTGAAAGGCACAAGGTCTAACACCTGGGCACCTGAGGGAGTGCATTCAGAGAGACAGGAGAGAGGACAGAGGTGTTGCTAGCTCAGTATGTGGGATAACTCTTGGTGTAACTGAGGAATATTTCCATTAAGTCAGTCATGCTACACCATTATTAAACCACTGCGAGTTCCGATGCAGGTTCAAACTACATATTTAAAATACCCATCGTAAAAAAATGAGGTATAAGTAGCCTTCCTAAAAGGCATTGATGATCCACAGGGTCCTTGAGATCTACACACTTTCTCAAAATGCACATACTGTATATAAATTATTTATACTTTATAATCCAACTCTGTTTAGCTTACATACTATACCTATTTATTTAAAATATAACTCCGTGCTTGCACTTCACCTCTCCTTCGACCCCTTAGCAATAATAAGTTTACAACTAAGAGATACAGTGAGACTCCACTTAATGAAGATGAAAACCTCAGTGCAAATGACACTTGTGTGGCTGAAGCATATTAAATGAGAATATGTCCGGATGAAAGGTTATAACATCTAGTCAGCAATTCATGCCCTATTGTGACTTTTCCTCATGCAGTAAGTCCTCAGAAATTGCAACTTACAAAACTATTTTCAAATGGATATTGTCAAGTTGATCTGATTTTTATTTTCAGGGTTATTCCAAAATACACTGAAGACCCTTTTTTAAATGTTTATTGCTGTTAATGTGTCAGTTCCTAGCCAAAATTGTATTTTATACATAGCCACTTCTCCAGAGTAGCTCTTAGAAGTGGAGAAGTGGCATCAAACCACCTTTGCCTCCCAGTGCACTCTGGAGAAGTGGCTATGTATAAAATACAGCACATACTTTAAAATCAGAGGTTGGCAATAAGCTGGACACGTATTGCCAGGGTAAGCTCCTGGTGGGCTGCCAGTGCTTCATTTACCTGCGCCTACTCATGTATAGCCACTTGAGGCTCCCATTGGCTGCAGATAGTTATTCCCGGCCAATGGGAGCTGCAGGAAGTGGTGTCCCAGTCTGCGCTGCTTCCTGCAGCTCCCGTTGGCCAGGAAAGGTGATCCCCAGCCAATGGGCACTTCAAGCAGCCATACCTGTGGAGGCACAGGTAAATAAAGCACCAGCAATCCACCAGAGGCTAACCATGGTGAACTGTGCCCTGCCTGCAGGCTGATTATTGCCCACTGCTACTATAGACCTATATGCTGCTGCAATTTATGGTTACATCTCATCATCCCAATGACCTGCTTTGCAAACCACACTAACCATTCCTCCTACCACGCCTGACAATCTCCCTCCCATTTGCAAAGAAGACCTATGCTGATAGCTATGGTGTAGGCCAAGCCACAACCTAGCTCCACAGATCTCTGACACTCAAAATTATTTCTCAGAGATAACAGTTTTGCTTCAACCATAAGGATACATAGCAGGATCCAGAATCAGGCCCCATTTTCAAAGTTAAATGTTTAAGTTGTTCCAATCACCTTCACAGAATTAGCTTTCAATAGGCCAAGAGAATGTATTATCCCTGACTGATGATAGAAAAGGGAAAACAGAATAAGAATATTAGCCACCTAAAAGTGAGTCAGAGATAAGACAAAGTGTTCAGCAGTCAGTTACCAGACAGTCACTTCGGGGTTGCAGCTGTTTGTCACTGCCAAATTTAAAAAGCCAGCAATCAGAAAGGCATGCTGGCAAAGTTCCTATAAAAAGACTGCACAAGCAACCTGGCATTTCCTAACATTTGAGTGCTTGACCTTGCAACTTCCATATTCTTTGAATGTAATGTTTTGTGTGCTATTATTTATACAAACTTGTTATGTCTATTTAATGCACTTTTTTGAGTATCAGATTGATTCCAAAATATACACTGCCAAAGGAATATTTTCCCTCACAGGATAATATAATTTTCAAATTCACTCTCAGACTAGATCATGCTCCCCCCACCCTTTTCTCATTATACACACACAAAGAATTATCTCTGATTGTGAAAATAAGACATGCTTCAGTGCACCTTTATCTTTCTAGAAACCAAGTCTGCTACTAATTGACGGGCATCAGGTGTGGGAGAGGAGCCCTGATCTCACTTCTAAACTGAAATCTCATGAAAATCAATGCAACTGTTATTTTCATCACTCCACTACTGGTAAGGTCTACTTAGGATTTTGTTTTAAGCAGATGCAGAACAAAAATGGGTGTCTAAGCCATCAAAGAACGCAAGCAAACCATTGGGTATTTTAAAAATAATCAATAAGCCAGTCAAGTCGGATACTGTTACTGCCATCACCTTTTCACCAGAAGTAGAGTATGGCTTACTCCCATGCTTTCCAGAGAAATACATTACAAACATCTCTGCAGAATTAATTATCGACATATTTTAAAACTAAAAATGTTACTAATTTATAGCTAAAAAGGAAGGAAATATTACTGTCACTCCTAATCAGTAGAAAACTACTCAGGATGGACTAGAACATCAGACTTTACCATAAAAAGTTTTGTTAGTGAAAAAGTGTGCCATGCTAATCATTCAAATACTACAGAAAAATGCTCAGACTAAGTTTACCGTCCAGTGCTCTCCAGAAAGTTGAAAAATAAACTTTCTTCTTTCTTTGTCTGCTACATTTGACAAAGCACTCTTCTTAGAGAGCTGAGAGTTCTTTTCAACTTTATCCACGAGCTTCACAGTGGTATCTATGAAACCATTCTTTAGGTATGCAGATTGTGGAACGCCTTTCTTTCTGCACTCTAGGACGAAGTCCCATTCTTGCTTTATCCTGAAATAGTGCCGATAAAGAGTTTCTATAAATCCAAATAACAGAAGTAAAAAACATAAAGTCTTGTATTTTAAAATGAGACTCCGTCCAACCTCCAAATCAGGACACACATTTCACATATGAAAATGATAAAACTGAATGCACACAAATCAGATGGTAATCCATTTGATTTTTACACTAAAAAGTCCTGCTTGCACTTGGAAATGCATAGATGTCTTTTCATAGGCAAATGACTAAAGATGCAAATTGAGCATGTAAATTTAGATGCCATTTTTAGAATGCTTGGCCCAAGAGTAATGCTTGGGTTTGTCAGGATGAATGGTAGAATTCTGATGAGTAAGATCTTCTTTGATGTATATGAGGCAGGATCAGAAAGTTAGGCACATATGGGATCTGATTTTATATGAATTTTGCCATTCATTTCAATCAGAGTAGATAGACTCATACCAAACAAGTTACAAATATAAGAATACAATTAAGACCATAAATTGATTCTGGATTTATGCTCATAATTTTTCAACAGGAAAAATATTTTCTGACCTTTTTCTGGCCATTGGAAATAATTTATTTTTCCCTAACTTTTTAGATTCAAGTAGAGTTTTTAACCTAGAAAAGTAAAGGGATTGTCTTCTAAAACAGTGTTGTGCACATTATAGAAAAGTTGAAGTTAAAGGTCAAATATATTTTACCCATGCTAGTTTCAACCTGAATGTTACTTAGGGCTTATCTATGTGAAAAAGTTTCACCAGTAAAAACAAGGGTAACATTTAACATCAGAGACACATATTTTGATTTAAGGATAACTTATTTTTGTTTAGTTCAAGTCAATTAAGGAACAGGTGTAACTAAACCAAAATAAGCCATTCTTATATCAAAAGAAGAGTCTCCACAAAGCCTTTTGCTCCCGTTTAACAATATTGGCTTAAAAGGCGATTTAAATTATACTACTTTAATTTGGTCATGTAGATAAGCCCGTCTCTGAACCCAAAGATCACTGGCAAAACAGGGAGCAGACAGTAGGAAGGCAAGAGTTAATTCAGGGGGTTCACAAATCTAAAAAATATTGTTATAATATACATGGAGGAAAAATAGGCCCAAGACACCTACATATTGTTTTCTAAAATTATTCTACTAGTGAGTGCATCTAATTAACTATAAAAGCTTTTTGTTGTTGTGAGCAAAAAGTTGGGCAAGAAAGAAACGTGTAGAGATACATTAAAATAAACCCCAGAAGGCAAGAGAAAAAGAAAAATAAGATTTGAACCATTAAAAAGGGGAAAAATTAAAAAGTATCCAAGCCCCCACAGTTTACTTCTCTGATATCTTAGAATTTAGAAGTGACCTTAACTTTGCTGTGCTGTTCCTTCTTCATACACTCCTCCTCTGCTTGTCCTCCAGGTATATGAATTCCATAATTGGTGAATTTTGATTCTGTGGAACAATTCTCACTCTTTCATGGAATTCCTTGATCATCCACCAAGAATTAAAAATTGCACTCTAATAATTCAGTGAACTAAAAACTGGCTGTTTGTTTTTGGTGACTTGCTTTTCCTTTACTCAGCCAGCCCTATAAATGGTTAATTCTTTCATTCAAACTGGTTGAATTCAGGAACCCGAATAAAACCCATGTAAATGGAAGAGGTGGGAGCATAAAAACCTTCCCCTCTCCAGAAGTGGGTCATGTCCATGCTGACCATTAGTTCCAACCCAATACATAATAAAACCCACAAAGAAGATTTAGCTCTAAATCCTTTAAGTGTGATAGCAACCAGGGAAGCATTGATGACAAGAAAATGTATTTTCCTCTGATATTTTACTGATAAAATGTAGAAAATACAATTATTTAGTGGCAACAACAATTTTTAGTTGAGTAAAACGCAATTAAACCCCAAACCACTGATAATGTAATCATTCAGCAACTGAACACAGCAGAATAACTACAAACTAAGTGACAAACTGAGCACGAATATAAACACATGGTGATGTAAGAGCGGAGAAGAAATTTGACATGGCCTTTAGTGTCAGCCTAATGCAATATGCTCTTCAGAGCTTATAAAGAATGATTTCATATAACACCAATTTACGCACCATGTGGATAGAGAGTGAATTATACTAATGGGGCAATGTCTGATTTTATCCAGTCTGTGTCAGAATTCTAGGCATGGTCAATTCCAAAGGCAGATGTTCTAATCACTCGCAATCATAGCTTATACCACTGGAGCTGCATCGCCAACCACATATTAATCAATATTACATTCCTTGCATAGAACAAGCCTCATATACAGATTTGGAGGAATTTGATTTTTATCAGTAAATATCAATAAACATTGATTTTTCACCATACACATATAAAAAAAAATTCATCTACAATAACCTAAATTTCCAGATAGGTAAAGTAAGAAAAGTGCTTCTTGACAGCTTATTAGACAGTAAGTAAATTTACTGTGTAAATTTTATACAATGTTGACAGTTTCTCTCTTGTCATTAATTACTGACAGTTGTGAAAATTTGATTTGCTAAATTAAAGAAGTGCTTTAAAGTAAGTGTTGATATAATCGATCAAAATTGGATAAAAATCAAAAGGATATTATTTATTAAATAAAATTATAAAATAAATCATTGACTTCTATTCAATCTACTAGTCTATTCTTATGCCAGGTTAAAATGTTCAGAGAATTTTCATAGACAAATTGATAATCATTACTTTCAATGATACCTGTATCATAGAAACTATAGATGTGAGATCACCCCAAGGGGACAGGTCTAATTAGGGGTTCATCATTCTGCTTTAGATAGTCACTGTTAAGTATGTGATTGCCATTGTTCCTTATAGAACCTTTATCAAAATAAACTGTTTTACCTCTGATTGACTATCTTGTATAAGGGAAACTAGCTGGAGTTACCCGGCGTTGCTCGGTCCTGCTCCCCGCCAGCCAATTCGCTTCCCCCTCCTCTCCCCTGGCCAGTCCTGCTTCCTGCCAGGCGGTTCTCCTCCTCCCAATCTCCTCCGGCCAGCTCCACTGCCCCTAACCCTCCTCCCCAACCATCTTGTTTTCCCGCCGGCCACCCCTTCCTCCCAGCCAGTTCCTCTCCCCCTTCGCCCCCCCCCAATCAAGTGTGGCCGTTTTGGGGGGGGTTTTAGACTACATGGTAACTGTAGCTGTGGGGGGGCAGGGTGGATGCCCAAGCCGTTATGCGCATGGGGGTGGGGTGAGTCCTGGATGGTGCTTTGGGGCCACAGGTGGCAGGCACTTGACCTAGGGTGGGCGGAGCTGCCCCTGCAGCGCAGTGTGGCAGGTTATTTTTGATTTTTACAGGTTGAGATTGGGCCCGATTGGGTCCAAAAGAACGTTAAAATCTTCTCCTGGAGGAAAGGTTATCCCATGGAAAGTTTGGTTGCGGTAGGTCTTATAGTGTCCAAGTTATTAGAGCACAAACATACAAACATTCTCCTTTATATATTAGATTATGTATTATCACATTTCTGCTATCATGCGTGCCTTTGAAAAAGGAAAAAACCCTCTGTTAGTGAGAAAATTCTATATGAAAGATGAAGTGTTATTTTAAGAAAATAAACCATCAGTAACTATTTGGCACTTCCAATTCTTTTTAAATCGGTTAACATTTCTCTGAGGTGCGTAAATTTGTTTCCAGTCTAAATGCTTTGTTTTGAAGAATGGCTTTCTTTTAAAGGCTCTGGAAATCCCAGAAACACATTTTCCCCTACAACAAATACTTAAGAGGGTGGGGAAATCTTTTATTGGATCAACTTCTTAACTCATCCATCTTTAGGGTTGCCAGGTGTTCGGTTTTCAACCGGACAGTCCAGTATTTGAGCTTTCTGTCCGGGAAACAAATTGAGAAAATACCAGGCATATAAATGTCCAGTATTTTCTAATTAAGTAAGTTTTATTATTATGATAAGTATCAGTACATAGTTGCATACCGCCTGACTGGTAGGCACGCACACACTGTGTGAGCATGTCTACCAGCCACACAGTACGCAACTACACAGTAGAGAGGAGGAAAGGTGGGGCCAGGGCGGGATGGAATCCCCAGGGCCGGACTCGCCCTTGCGCCTCACTGGGACCATGCACAGGATGGGCAGCACCCTGGGATCTGTATGTGCCTTTGCCAGCCCCGCTCCCTGCTGGCCAGTTCCCCCCCAGCCAGCTCCACTCTCCTAACCTCCTCATGGTCAGCCCTGCTCCCCGCCGGATGGTTCCCCCAGCCAGCTCTACTCCCCTCAACCCCCTCCCGGCCAGCCCTGGTTCCAGCCAGCCAGTTCTCCCCCCGCTTCATCCCCCCTCCGATCTCTCCCGGCCAGCCCCGCTCTCCCCCAAACCTCCTTCCAGCCAGCCCTGCTCTCCCACCAGGCTGGTTCCCCCCTGGCCAGCCCTGCTCCCCCAAACCGTCTCCTGGCCAGCCCTGCTTCCCGCCGGCCGGTTTCCACCACCCCCCGATCTTCCCCAGCCAGCCTTGCTCCGCCACCCCCCATCCTGTTCTGAGATCACATGTGTCCGGTATTTTTTTGAAACCCATCTGGTAACCCTATCCACCCTTGTGTTGTGAGAAAACTGGATGTGACACAAGTTGCGGCCATTTTATGTACTTAAGCCTCTCTCAATTAATGGAAGTGAGGATACCACATAGGAATAATTTGGGCCTGATTAGGCAGACAGAACAAAACCAGCTGTAAACTGCAATTTTACTTGTTGATATAGAAAAAGAGAAAGGACACATTCTTGAGGAGGTGGGATAAATGTGGAGAACTGACCTTGAAATTTTTCTTTTTACTGAAGATGCTTTGCTAATAAGGAGAATGATGAATTATTATTGGCTATTGCCAAGCCCACTATGGGGAGATAGTTGAGCAAAGAGAACTAGAGCCTTGGCCCTTTAAATTGCCACCAGAGCCCAGCACGGTGCACTCCAGCCAGCACTGAGGGCTGCCTGGAGAAGGCTAGCCCTGCCCCTTCTGCCCAATGCTTGCTCCTTCC